CTCTGGCCGCCCCCTTCCCGCCTGCTCCTCCCCCCCCCCCCCCAGCTGGTGCCCCTGCTTCCACGCTTCGGCCGCACCGCAGGTTTTGTTGTTGTTTTTTTTGCTTGGGGCGGCCAAAAAAGCCAGAGCTGCCCTGACTGCAGGGCCTAGTTGCCAGGCTTCATATTGATCCAAGGCCACAAGCTGGGACCTGCAATTTCCACAAACCGCACCAGTGTATTCAGAATGAAGTCAGACAACTTTGTCCCTCCCCCCAGGTCCCTGGTTCCCCACTCCACCCCATCCCCAAGGGCTATTGGCATCCTTACCCGGGGGGCCAGGCTGTCCTTACAATGCAGGCTGATTCCACACTCATCGGTGATTTCAGAGAGGTCTTCATCCTCAAACTCCTCAAGGCTGATGTCATGGGTGAGCCTGGTGGAGGCAAAGACCATGCAGTTACTGCCAAACAGACATAACCTGCTAGGAAATGCCCAGAGAGCTGTCTGGGCAGCGTCAGGCTCCCAGCACTGGGCCCATGAGGAATGGTGGGAGGGTGCGTGACACTTACAAGATGCATTGTGAAATGGGGTGCATACCAGCAGGGATCAGTGTACCTGGGCTAGGAAAGAGGGATTGGGGGCAGTTTCTCTGGTCTATATTGGGAAGACGTGAGATCTACCTCTTGAATGGGGATAGAGCCCCCCACCAGCTCTCCCGCTCCCACAGTGCCAGGTTTGGATACAGTCTGTGGTGACCCTGCTGGATGCCTGCTGTCGAGGTGTCTTCAGCATTGCTCTTCATCAACAGGGCCCAGAAAGCTGTCTCTCAAGGTGTGTTGGTGGGGAGGCAGTGGCCAGACCCCTTCTCGGACGATCAGCACGTGTACTGATCTAGAGAGTACTGTGCGGGGGTCTGATGCTCTCCAGGCAGGGCCTTGTGGCTTCCAGGGAGAAGAAAGCTACTGTACACATTTCTGCTGGACCTGGGCTCAAAGAATACCAGCCACTGCACACAAAGGAAAATACAAGGGTGTCCCAAAGTAGGAAAGGGGTGGGGAAGGAAGTAGAGGGGGCAGGAAGAATCTGCATTCTCCTGGCCCTATTCCCACCAACAACGCATAGCTAGGTGGAACCAGAGAATTAACATTTTAGGAACAAGATCCTATATTAGGAACACAGGCTGAGATGGACGAGGATTCATCTAATCCAGTAACCTACTCTGACAGGAGTCAGTGGCAGATGCTTCAGAGGAAGGTACAAGAAATCCCCATAATGGACAATTATGTGAATCATTTGCCCACAGGGGAAACAACCCCTGGCAGTTAGTGGCTGGTTTAGGCTCTAAAACACAGAAGATTTATATATTTCCCCTTTTTACATTTACTATCTAATGCCAATATCCATAAAAATACTTAATTCTTTTTTGAATCCATCTAAGCTCTTGGCTTTCAGTGGTACTTTGTGGTAGTGAATTCCACAGGCTAATTGTGCCTTGTTTACAAATGTATTTCCTTTTAGCAGTTTCATTGCATGCCCCCTTGTTCTTGTATTCCGAGAACATGAGCACCCGATTTCCCTTGTCCAAATATTTGTTATTTTATATACCTCCATCATATAGCTCTCATCTAGCATGTCTCTAAACTGAGCAGTCTCTAGTCCCATCTACATACAAATTTGCAGCATTTGGACTAGAGATGTGGTTTTAAACTGATTTAGTGGAACTTTGTTGTAGAGACTGTTATTTCAGTTTATGAGTGGCTTCTTTTTGTCCAGAATAATATGTTTAAAAACAGATTATGGTAAACCAAAATAAGCTACTCTTAAACTGAAATCATAGTGGCTACACAGGGGTTTGCAACTGTTTAAACTTAAATCAGTTTTTAAGCCAGTTTAGTTAAACCGTTGCAAGTTGTGCGTGTAGATAAGGTTGCAGGCTATTTTCTCTACTCATACAGAAGAGCATTTTCATCACCAGTGTCTGAATCCAGCTGGGGCAGAGATTTTGGCCAGAAAACCCCAATGGCTAACATGGTCCATGGAGAAGAGAAGGCCCCAATATTGGAGTGGAGAGGAACAGAACCAAAGACAAGGTCACTCTGGGGGAGTGCCATGCTGGGATCTTGAAGAGCAGGAAGGGGAATGGGTTAGGGTTCCAGATGATACAAGTGAGGAAGGGCAGGGGGGATACTTACATAATCCACTGCTTCTCAGAAAGGCCAAGGGTCTTTGAAAGACCAGTCTCACCCTCCAGGTTTGTTTTGATCCCCATCGGTCCTGGATACCAAGGCAGCAGCCATGCCCAAGAGCCCTTTTTATGCTCCTTGTATCCCACTTGGAACATCCAGAGTTATAATGCCAGAAAGCAGGAACCCGCCCCACCCTACCCCCATCATGTCCTTGCTGAATCCTTCTGAGACACCAAGGCAGCAGCAAGAAACATCCTTCCCCCCTGCTGGTAAGAAACTCAAGGGAAGAGCATGTCAATCTGTCCACTCCTAGAGAGACAGGGCAGAAAAGGGGTGGGGAGGGTAATCTCCCTTCCTAGGTATTTCTAAGCATCTAGCTCCCCTCCCAGGGTCCCTTTCACATGCAGCCTCCTGCCAGTGTCCAGCAGTGGGGAAGATGCCATTTTGGGCAAGGGTATTGGGGCAAACCTCTGTGACTTTTACTATCTGCACAGAATAGACAGGAGCTGGGGGAAAGAGAGCCTGCAGCACAGCACTCCCTGCGGCTGATCTTTATTGCAGGGGTCGGCATTTGCACTGCTTCCTCAGCTGCTCTCAACAGATACCCCCTCTCGGCTTCCTCTTCACAGGCCTGAGCCTCCTCTGCCTTACAGCCACCTGGTGTCACTTATCACACGGACACAAAATGAGCATGAAATGCTGGCATTCTGATTTGGGGAAGTTTGACACACACTGAACAGGTGTAAGTGATGCACAAGGTGCCAAATTAGGGGGAAACCAGACCCCATGTTCCCCAGCTGCTTCCCCCTCAGCCTGCTGTTTTGTAGGAAGTGGGGAGAGAAGGTCTAGCAATGATCCTTCAAAGCATGAATCGATTCTCTCTCCGGTTACACAGGGTCAGACAAGATCTGCCACTAACACTCATTCTCTCAGGCACTGCTGAGAGTCAGGGCCCTGGGACACAGGCAGACAGAGAGAGACCCCCTTGTAGCTGAGCAAAATGGGGCCCTTACAAGATCCACAACTTCTCAGAAAGGCCTCTCAAAAGGCCATGGCTGCCTGCACTCCAAATGCTGCAGAACTGACCTCTTGGGGTGGCAGCTCCAGGCCTGCCCAGTGGAATGGCTGGAGAGCAGAGAATGCGCAGCTTTCTCTCTGGGACAGGGTGCAGCCTAGAACTGTATCCGAGGGCTGCTTGCTGCAGTAAGCACTGGGGAGCCCACAGGTTTATAGCCAGCCACGGGAAGCAGAGATGCCAGGCCAGAGCTTGGAAGAATCACCTGGAGGCACTAGGATTTCCAATCTCGTCAGTCCTCCCTCTCCATGAAGCATCTGCATTAACACTCCCCTTTCCCAAGGAGGCTCCCCTGCTCTCACCCCTTCACCTGCTGCTAAAATAAACACATTTCCAGCAACTGCTCCTGCCTCAGGCACTGAGGGGCTTCCTGCCTGTGAGCTCATGATTGCTCTGATGGGGAGGAAACAGCAGTCTTGGTTGCTCTGGTCTCCTCTATACCCAGCTACCATGCAGCTGATAAACTATGGGCCAAGTACGTACCAAGTTCACTCCTGCTCTGTAGGCATCACATGCAGAAGGAGGAGGTGCACCCCGAGGTGCTTGACTGCTTCCCGGCCCTCCCTTCCCACAGTTCCCTACCATTTCTCCCACTGATCCTCCAGCCAGCTCTCCTCTTCTGTGCTTGACTCCATTCTCAAGGCCAGCTGCATTTAAGAGGAACCCTTCCTTGTTGTTTCAGGGCCCCAGGGAGAGGAGCCAGGCTCAAAGGAGCTGAGCTCTGCGTGTGCTGCCCCTCTGCCTGCCCCAGCTCAGAGCCCGTTGCTTCCTGCGCCACTCTCTGCCTCCCCACTGCGCAATCTAGGGGAGCTCATTAAAAATAGATTGAATCAGCTGTCTTGGAAAAAAAATAACCCACTGAGCTGAGATGGTGCCAGGCCCTGCACTCTGCCTGGGCTGCTGAGTCTCTCAGCCAGCCAGCCAGCCAGCCAGGCTCCTGCTCCCCCCCTCCCCCGCCTTATCACCAGCAGACAGGGTAGGGGGCATTGAGTTACCACATCATTGATACCAGCTCTGCTGAGCCACCTTCTCCTGCCCTTGCAAGGCCCCTACTTGGTCTAGTCAGCTCTGCATGGACCACAGTCCCAGGTGGGAATGGGGCAGTCTGCGGTTTTTACTTGTCAATGAGAGAACCATCATTTCATCTATAAAAAGAAATTTAAAGGGGCAGCACAGTATTTAGACACACATGAAAGTGCCTGACAAGGACAAGGTGGGGCTGCTCGTGTTTCATGTGCTTTCAGAAATGATCTAAATCCCCAGATTTTCAGCCTCTCCCCCCCCCTCATCCCCACATCCCTCTGCTGGCCCATTCTGGTTCTAGTCTCTCTGCCCAGGGTCTGGCAATGGTATGGTCCAGGATAGCAGTGAGCACAGCCAGCTCCCCGGGGATCAGGTGCTAAGGTTGGGTTCATTTCAAGCTTTTAAGAGAGCGGAGGGGAGTTAGAACAACATCAACAGCTACTCTGGTAATCATGCATTCAATTCCACAAGTTTAACAGGAACAAGTAAGATCTGCCCAATGAAAGCCTCACAATAGAAAGATCTCTTGCTGCCAGTGGGCCCTGACACAGGGAGACCAACAATCAGGGCTTGAAACACTTACCCAAAACATACTAGCCCTAGGACTAATCTTACCATACAGGGCAGAGTCCCTGTGTTGTAACACCCCCAAACCACACCCCTTGCGAGTTAAACCAATTAACTATGTGTACTTTTTAATGAGTGCTGCACTGAACTGTTAAATCACTAATGAACTTTCTATGTAATACCCTTTAAAAAGTGTAACTTACATAATCTTCCTGGCTTTAATTCCACTTCCCCCATCTTCTTTCTTTCCTATAATAAATAATGAGGCATCTTTTCCTGTATTGTTTTTGGTGTCTATTTCCTCTTTTCCTTCTCTCTCTTCCTTTCCCTGTATTTTTGTCTCTATATCCTCTCTTTCAATTTCTCTCTAATTTGTTTTCCCATCTCTCCCTTGTCCATCCCCTCACACTGAGATGTCTGGTAACATTTCCAAGCCCAAGGGGTCAGAGGACTAAACATGCTAAGCTAAAGATCAATGAGAAGATGTGGGCAGCTCACTGTCCAGTCAAAAGCAACCCCATTCCAGCTGCTGGGAAATGGGAGGTGCCGGAACCTCGACCATGGAGCTGTCCCTGGACTCTGCTTGTCATAGATTTTAAGGTCACAAGGGACCATTATGTTCTTCTAGACACTGACTTCCTGCATAACACAGGTCATATAACTTCACCCAGCGGTTCCTGCTGCATCAGATCCATAACTGGTGGTCGAGCTAGAGCAGAGGGTTTTGAAAGACATTCAGTCATTATTTTGAGACTTCAAATGATGGAGAATCTACCACATCCCTAGGGTAATTCACCAAGGGAACAGTTTATCTCACTGTTAAAAATGCACACCTTATTTCTAGTCTGAATTTGCCTAGCCTCAGCTTCCAGCCATTGGATGTAATTATACCTTTGTCTATTGATTAAAGAGCCTTCTGTTATAAGCAGTCTTCTCCCCAAGTAGGTACTTGTAGACCATGATCAAGTCACCTCTTAGCTTTCTCTTTAAGTTAAAGCTAATTAGAAGGGAGCTTCTTTACTCTCGCTCTCTCTAAGGCAGGTTTTTCAGATCTCAAATCATTCTTTTCTGAACACTTTCTAGTTTGTCAGCATCATTGTTAAAGTGTGGACACCAGAACTGGACACAGTATTCCAGTATTGGTCATGCTAATGCCAGATACAGAGGTAATAACACCTCCATACTTCTACCATTATTCCCTTGCATATACGTCCAAAGATCACATTCGCTGTCTTAGCCACAGCACCACACTGGAAGCTCATGATCACTTGATTATCTACCATCACCCCAAAATCCTTTTCAGACTCTCTGTTTTCCAACTTATAGTTACCCTTCTTAAAACTATGATTTACAGTCTTGTTTCCTAGATATACTTTTGACTATATTAAAACTCATGTTGTTCAAGTGAGTCCAATTTTCCAAGTGATCCAGAGTGCTCTGTAACTGACCTGTCCTTATCATTTACTACTTCACCAATTTTTGTGTCATTTGCAAACTTTATCAGCAATGATTTTCTGGCAGATAATTGATAAAGATTATCAAGGGCTCACAGGCTCCATCTTTTATATCAGCTAGCAGGTGTCTGATACATTTTAAGTCCCTCAGCTGATGGAAGGGAGAAAGAGCTCTCTCCACCTATTTCTCCCTGCCCCTCCCACTCAGAAACTTCCTGGCTGCTGCAAGTGTAGGTCTCCATTTGCCCACATCCATTTTTGATCCTCCTCTCCAGTGACTAGCTCCTACACTTGCCTCTGCTGCTGCTCAGAGCTTCCTCAAGTACTAGCAGAGTGAAACAACCCTTCTTTCAATCAGTTTCACTGCTGATCATAAAAATCTGAATAGCTGCTGTCAAACCCAATAAGGCTCTGGTCAGTTTTCACTGTGAGACATCAGTCTGCAAACTCAGGCAGATATAGTTGCATCAATTATACCTAAGTGACTTGAAGATTTTCCTCACAACCATACGAGCTAAAAAGTTTGTTTTTTAATGAAAATTCACATTCTGCAGAAGTTGAAGGCATTCACCTCGAGCAGCTTCCTATTCACCCTAGGTGAGGGGATTTTTCAAGCCCTGCTAACAATAATAATAATAATGTTTAGCAGTTACATAGCATGTTTCACCTTTCTGGTGCTCACACTGACAGCCCCCTTAAAAGAAAGGAAATATCATCTACATGTTACAGGTTGTGAAACTGAGGCAGAAAGAGTAGAAGGGACTTGTCCAAGATCACAACAGCAAGCCAGTGGCAGAGCCAGGAACAAAACCCATAACAATCCTGTCTCCCAGTCCCATGCTCAGTCTGCTAAACCACGCTACCTTTCAGAACCAAGAATAGGACCCAAAGTCCCTGCATGCTCAGTCCACTAGACCAGTGTTTCTCAACCTTTTTGATACCAGGGACCGGCTGCCTTCCTAAACTGTGTCAGAGAGATCTCAGGGACTGGTGCCAATCCACAGACCGGCCGTTGAGAAACACTGCACTAGACCACACAGTCTCTCTGCCTCCTCATTCTGAAGAGAATAAGGAAGTAGATCTAGACTTTGTGCAGCCCATGAGGGTAGTAAGCATGATGGCTACTGGCTTTACAGGGTAACTCTTTCATAGTTGTCCCATCTACCCACCATTCTTTGGAGTGGGGAGGAGGAGGAAGAATATAAGGCAGTCCATGACACCCCCTCCCCCCCCCAACACACACACTCCACAAGATGAGCGCTTATGCAGGCTGATGTGGGCAGGGGTGAGTGGGCAGCCTGGTAAATTGCCATTTTAAAACATGTTCCTTTCCATTAATTTTATCATCATCAGAGTCATAATTCTTTGTATTATTTCATGGACCAAGACTGCACCCACCCAAATCCTGTCAGCAGCAAAAGATTCAGCTGTCACGTCCCTAGCTGCTCTTCTCCAATCGCGCCTCACTTTAGTAGGTATGTGTGTGTTATGAAATTAGCCTTCACTCCTTGAAAGGCCCAAGGTGGAATAGCAGGGAGTGCTGCAACTCAAAATTGAGGTGCATTGACAGAGCTGTCCGTGGTGCTTTTGCATTAAAAACTGGACACCACCCTGACTCTTGCGAAATTGCAAAGAGATCTTTGATGAACAGAAGCATTCAGGACTTTTTTCTGATATTCCATCTGCAAGTCAGCACCGTACTGGGGCATTCAGTCCAGTGCTAGTTCAGAGGGAAACACCTTTGTGGCTGGGCTCCAGTTCCTTTTCCCCCACACAGGAACCAGAGGGTCTTTTGCTTAAGCCAAAGAGAAACATCCTCAGAGAAGCCTCATTTTGTAGAGCATTAAAACAAATGCCCTGCCCATTGCCTCTGAGCTGACTACTCAGACACCCCAACACATACAACAGACAAATCAATCTGTAACGCAGGGCTTGATTTCCACCTCAGCCTAGACTCCCCTGAGCTTCTTGGGGAAATACAAAGAGGTTCACTCCCTTTTCCTAGAGACAGCCCTCTCTTTAGAAGCCCTTGTAATAGGAATGCTGCCCAGCTCCCTTTGTTATAGTCAGACTCCCAGAGGGATTCAGGTATTCTCTCTCAACTTCCCTGAACCATGCAAATAGCTCCCCTAGGGGGTAGCTTTCCCAGGAGCCCTGCTGTTCAGCATCTAGATTGATGCTATGGCTCTTTATTAGGAAAGCTGGAAATGGGTGTGCCTCAGGGCCAAAAGATCTCTGCTACACACCATCCCCTTCTGTTACATTCCTAACACCACTTTTTGCAGCATCTCCTCCAGTTTTTTTCTGGATGGCTCCCTTCCGAGTACTGGTTACCTTCCAAGTTCTTCTCAGACTCAGTACAGAGTGATTTGTCTGCAGGCTGCTAAAGGGAGCTCCCCTCCCCCCTCCACTTTCTTCCTTCTCAGACCTGGTCACTGCTACGGACAGGGGTCAGATTCATTGGTGCTCTGCACCTTATGCAGTCATTTACACCAGTGCAAAGTAGGTGTAAAACACCACCAAGTCAGAATGCTTACCCAGTGGTGTCAATGACTACACAAGGTGCAGGGTTGTGGAGAATTGGGCCCGGGGCAACTAGCAGCTGCGAGCTTTGCATAACGCTTTACACCCCACTCCTGCTTTAAAAGTGAAGCTCTTACATCAACTATCAAGAGCTCCTTTAGTAACAGAATTTCAGGTGAAGCATCTCTCACTTGTCCCCATCCCTATCCCCTCCTCCCTGGGCACAGACTAGGAGACACTAACACAGCTGCAGCAGCCTGACTCCTGTCCCAGCTCTAGGGTGAGCACTGGACAATCCTTCCCCAGAGGGCTGGCAAACAGCTCTAGTGCAAAACCCTCTGTGAAACTCACCCTGCTGGGCCCTCATCCTGGCTCAGACAGCCCTGATATACTCTATCCCTGGCCTGCACAACTGGCCATCCCCGACATGGCCACAACCAGACTACAGAAGTATTAGGAGCCACACAGGGGCCTCTTCCTCCAGCTGACAGGTAATTTAGAGTTAGAAAGTCCAGTGAGTGGCAGGAAAAGTTTCTGACATTAACACTGCAAAGAAAGGTATCCTGCTGCCTGGTCAGGTGTCTCCTTAGTAACTAGGGTTGACTGGCCCCTGGGCTCTAGCCCTTACGGGGGCAAGCCACCCTGTTATAGGATAGAAGTAGGAATTGGAGGATGAGACAGTGCAAAGAAAAACTTAATCATAGAATATCAGGGTTGGAAGGGACCTCAGGAGGTCATCTAGTCTAACCCCTGCTCAAAGCAACTTGGGCTGAATCTCAGGAGCTTCTTGGCAGTGGGGTATGTGAGGCTGTGGGATCGTCTCCTAAAGAAGGGGATGGGAGCCCCATTGCTTGGGATATTTAAAGCTGATGGGGGCACAACCCTGGAGAATAGATTGTAGGGACCAATCCTGCCTTGGGCCCAGGGGACAAATGGAACCTAATGGGACTTTTCCATCTCTAATGTCTAGAATTCCCCTCACTGAGACAAGGTGACCACCCAAGGAGGCTGCCCTAAAAAAGAAGGGCCTCATCCCACACTGTTGCTTCCCAGACCCTTTTCAGATGATGCGAGGCCTTCATACTAGAGAACTAATCAGAACTTCTTGCCCCCACTCATAGCCGCAAAATGGAGACAATCTGGCAGTGCTGATTCTCTTAGGTATTAAAGGGGACACACTACCTCATAGCTCTGCTGTCCTTTGCTGGGAGCCTGTGAGTTGCCATTCAGAAAGGGTAGGAATAGCAGCAGGAAATGTGGGTGGGATTCCCCTTGCGCCAGAAGCACAGCATTCACATGTCCTCATGGTTCATTCAGCACCTCACTTCACCCTTGACTGAAGTCTTTGCTGCCCTTTTCAGCCCAGAACAATGGAAGCCCTAAGGCAACCCAAGAGTGGGAGGTCTCTCCTCTCACAGGTGCTGGAGCTGACTACAGTAGAAAGGATGGGGTCGGGAGGGGGGGGGTAGGATGCCTGTCAGTGACTTTTTGACTCTGTCACCCCAGATACTCTCTGTTTACACAGCTTCCCACTCCCCAGTGCTTACACCTGCCAGATAACACACCCTGGTGGGGAAGCAAGTGCAGTGTGTGTGTGTCCAACTCCCCCCCGCATCCCTAAATATTGCAACATTATCTCTGGGTCTTCAAAATTCCCCCTCAAGTTCAGAGACCTCAGAATTGTTTCCATCAATCTCAAGAACTTGATCCCAAACTCCGGGCTCCTGGAATGATTTGCCCTAACTTCAGAGACCCCTGAGTTCTCCTCATTAAATCTCAGGGCTCTGACACCTCCCCGTACAAGGTATGACTATTCCCTGCTCCCTTTCCCATTAAAAGTTGCTTCCTGAGAATTTGGACTCCACTTCTGGACACCTGGTCAACAGAAGGAGCTAGCACCATGCTCTTCCTTCCCTGGGTGTTGCTGTTTACATTGGAGAGGACAGAGCCCAGGAGACAAACGTTGTATCTAGGACAGCAGCACACAGCAAACCCGAGACTGTCACGGGACCAGGCTGAGCTGAGCTCTGCTGCTCGGCTCACATTACCCAGCTTTGTGGCTGAGCCTTTTCTCCATGGTGGACCTTTCCAGAGGCAGCTTTAATTGCTTAATTTGCATGGTTTATGCAGCCATGTTGCATGCAATGGCTTCAAACAAATCAAACAGGCAGCATTAGAACTAAAAGGAAGAGAGGGGACTGCTGTTTACAGAGCCCCACAAAGCTGTTTAGCAGAGGAAACTCCAGAACCAAATGACAGTCTGCACAGGGGCAGGGCCCTTACAGGTAAATCACCCAGCCTCACAATGCCCAAACAACACATCAGCTTCCCCTCCAAAATGATGGCAGATAATCTCTTTCCTCAACTCTCAGACCCCTGGACTCCCGACAGAGTCAAACATGAAACATTTACCTCCGATCACAGGTGTGGAGCATCTCTCCTGCCCCCCAGAATCTCTCAGCATAAACAACGCAGTACAGATCTCACCTCCCTGCCCAGCTCAGACCCAATTCTAGCCTTAGTGCCCCACCATTCAAGACACACACATATGATAACCAGAGAACAACTGCTCAGAATTTCAGAAAAACAAATGACATCAAGCCCACCAAATAGGAGGAAAAAATAGTGACAGGGCCTATATATGGTCAAATGCCAGGCACTGCCCCTGCCCCACATGCACCTCTTTGCTAATCCTGCTCTCCAAAAGTCATTGGCAGGCATCCTGCCCCCCCAAGCCCACCTGTACCCTTATCTCAACTAGGCAGCTGTAGGTTCTTCAGTCCACCTCTGCTCCTGTCCCTGCTTCTGCCTGGGGCTGTCAGGCCATATTGTGAACAGTTTCACAGCCTTCAGATTAAAGGGCTCCATGTCCCAGATGGATGGGGGTGCTCAGTATTTCTGAGAGGACCAATTCTAAATCCGCAGCACCCTCCTGGGTTTGTTTTCTGTTTCAGGTCTGTACCTGGGGTAGGGGTCTCTGAGGGGACATAAAAAAGGGGTTGTTTGAGAGGAAGGAAATATTTCCTGGGGAGGAAGGTTGTTTGGGGAAGGGGGGTGTTTTTTGGGTGTGGAGGAAGGCTTTTGAGTGGGGTGTGTATGTGTGTGTGTGTAGGGGAGGGTTGGGAGAAGATGGGGGAGATGTTGGGGCTCGGGTGGGAAGTAGGGAGGATTTGGGAGGCAGTGGGGGGTGAGAGGACTGGAGGTAGGTGTGTGAAGAGTTGGGTAGGAGGTGGGGGGTATTTGGGGGAAGCATGTGCAAGACACGTGAGGGGGATATAAGGGGAGGATTTTGGGGGGCAGAAGGAAACTAGAGGAGGCTGTGGAAGGATTTGGGGTTGGAGGTGGGGGGGGGTGTTTGTGTTTGCAGCCCCTCCCTACACAAAGCCGGCAGGAAAAACAGGGCCCAGAGCCCAGCCCTCCCCACTAGGCTGCAGGCACAAGCCCCCGCCTCCTCCAGAGAGCAGAGCACCGCCCGCGGCAGACACCACCTGTTCCAGGGCAGCCGGCTCCTTCGCAGCTGCGGGCGGGGACAGCGGGTTTGACCCCCTGGCCTGTGGGGAGGGTTACACTGCCCCGAGCCTGCTGAGAGGGGACCTGGCTGGCTGAAGCCCCAGGCAGGCATTGTTCCACCCCGGCCCCCGCCCAGGGCAATGCAGCCTGTGCGTGCCCGCTCGGGGGAGGGGGGCTTACCCCTTCCCTCGCCCAGCCTCGGGGGGGAGCGGGCACCGCCGCCTGGTTCCCAGCCTCGGAGGGAAGTAGCCAGCAAGCGGCGGGGGCTGCCGGCGTCTGCCCGCGATGGAGCAGAGGATGCAGCAGCAGCCTGTGCCCAGCCCGGCTCTGCAGAACAGGGATAGGTGGGGGAAGGGGCAGGGCTAACGCGATCTGCAGCGAACCCCCCGCCCCCCGGGAAAGGGACTGAGGGGTTTGGGGTGGGGGGAGGCTCCGGTACCTGAAATTGGGGGGCGAGGCCAGATGCAGCCCCAGGAACGGAGACGATCCGGCCGGGGACGTGGCTCCTTTCTCCCTCTCCGCCATTCTCTCTCTCCATGCAGGCGGAGGGAGGGAGGGGAGATGGATGCTGCTGATGCTGGCAGGGGAGGAGAGAGCAGGGCCGCCAGACAGGAATTCACTGGGGGGCACCGGGGCTGGCAGGAAAGGGCGCTTCTGAAAGCCAAAGCCGAGGAAGCCCCCGGAGGTGGCAACTGCAGGAGAGATGCCCCCCACCTGGGTGCTGCAGCCTGGCTCCCCCTCCAGCCGGCCGAGCTGCAGCAGGTGGAGGGTGCCCAGGAGTCCCACGGGGTGGGGCAGCCACCGGGCGCGTCCTGCTCCTCGGGGTGCGCCCAGGACAGGCGGGAGGTAGCGGGGTGAAGGCTGAAGCAGGAGCGAGCAGAGCTGGCAGGGAGGGGGTGAGCTGGCAGAGGAGGGGGAGGGGCAGAGGATGGGAGGGGATTGGACTGGCAGAGGGTAAAGAGGGGGCTTGGCAGGGGGTGAGGAAGAGAGGTAGCAGGAGCTGAGGAAGGGAGGTTGACGTGGGATGAAGTGTTCGGATACTCTGTGAAAGGCTCCTGGGGAGGTGGGGCCTCTGAAGTAATGATAGCTCCTTTACAGAAAAAGCAGGTGCAGTGTCTAACATCTTGAGGATCTAAGGCAGGGGTTCTCAGACTGGGGGTCTGGAGGTTATTACATGGGGAGTCACGAGCTGTTAACCTCCACCTCAAACCCCGCTCTGCCGCCAGCATTTATAATGGTGTTAAATACACTTCTACCCAGATATAATGCTGTCCTCGGGAGCCAAAAAATCTTACCGCGTTATAGGGGAAACCGCCTTATATGGAACTTGCTTTGATCCACCGGAGTGCGCAGCCCTGCCCCCCCCCCCAGCGCTGCTTTACCGTGTTATATCTGAATTCATGTTATATTGGGTCGGGCTAGAGGTGTATATAAAAAAGTAATTTTAATTTATTAGGGGGGGTCACACTCTGAGGCTTGCTATGTGAAAGGGGTCACCAGTACAAAAGTTTGAGAACCACTGATCTAAGGAGTGGGAGGGGAACAAGGAACTACTGACCCTCCCCCACAAAGTCAGGCACCTTGGAGATCCCCAGGGTAGCAGCAGCCTCCCTCCCCCTACCCCCCCCCCCAGAGATGTCTCAGCACAGCCTTTAGGATTGCAGGCAGAGCAGCAGAACCCTCCCCCAACCCATGCTATTTGGCAGCCAAGCAGCTGAGGGGAGACCAGCAAACACATCCTGGGCCAGCAGAGAGGGGGCAGGCTGGGGCTAAAGATACTGGGCAGTAGCCTCCAAGGGGTCTGGAGAGGGCAAGACAATCAAACGAACAGGTATTTTAATTTCCCATGCCCTCCCCCCACCCCCGTGGCAGTGCCTCATCAGCACCCTGACCCCAAATGGGGATGGGTCCTTTCTCCAGTTTAGAATACAAATATTTTTCCAAGGGTCCTTTCAGAAATTGATGATAAGGAGTTTCCTCTGCTGTAGCACTACTTTCCCCAGGGATGGTTCAGTCCTGCTGCTCAGGCCCAAGGCCACCATGTCTGCATTATGGTCAAAGCAAGGGGAGGATTAAAGCCAGATTTCAAACCATTTTCATTGAATTAAAGAGGTGGAACCAGTTCTATTAATGGCTGGGTCTACCACCCCACTCCTTCCACTCGCTGCGCTTTAAACAGCAGGCCAAAGCTACCTCCCCTACTTTAACCATCTCACCAGGTCTAGAAAGAATCCCATGCTGATTCGTGCTGAGATGGTATTTAAATCATTCCCTCATTCCCATAACATTTGTAGTGCTGCTTAAGGAAATAACATCCATGAAACCACAGTACCAGGTTTTGCATGTCCGCCCCCATCTACTCCTAGGTATCCCATTAAGTAGCACTGTGTTCAGAAGCATACAATTTACACAGATTTGGTTGCTTGGGGTTGTATTTCTAATCTTCCAATGGGACTTTTAATATGTTGCTAAGTGTAGCCATACCCACTATTATCAATTTACTATATGTATGTGTATAATGACAGCTGTGCCCTGGAATACTATAAGTAGATGGCACTGCACTGGCCCTTTCAATCTCTTAAGGAACCATAGGTATGGCTCCATTCCAAGATGTGAAGACAATTTACTTCATGGCTAAAATCCAGTGCATCATCTGTTTCTTCAGAGTTGAGAGTCCCAGAATGGTCCCCGGGGTTCTGATCTCCTGCCCGATCTGAGTTCAAAACGGATAACATTTGTGGACTGGTTTGGAGTCATGGGCTTTCGCTTTGGTTCATCACCGGTCAGCTTTGGTGAGATGGAATGAGTTAGGAAATTCTCTATGAAATGATACAGCTTCATTATTATGTTGTCCTTTAACTGCGCCTCCACAAATAGACTTGTTTCCTCCTGAAGAAAGATTAGGATATTTGGAGAACTAGACTTTCTCTCTTTTGAAAATCCTAAACAGACCTACTGGCCCAACTTGAGCAAAGGTGCAGAGAGCCTCACTTGTAACATATTCCAGCCTTCATGGGTCAGGTTCTGAGAACTGCTTCAGAGCAAAGGGATCATCTCCTGATCTGTTATCCAAATTGATTAGGTGGGCCCTGTGAGTCCATGATCCTCCCAAGAGATCCAGTACATTCACACAGGGACCTGCCTGTTTACAAAATGGGTAGAGGCTTTACCTGCTCCCAGTGATATACCCTGAACCACAGCTATGGTATTGATTAATCATGTTTTTAGTAGAGGGGGTTTGCTGTTCAAGCAGACATGCCAAACCCACGAAAAAATGTAGAAATTGGGCTTGTTTTTGGCTTAATTGGCTTGTGAGTTTCTTGTTGGCTAGTTTTTGGCTTGTAGCTTGTTGGGCTTGTAGCTTGTTGCTTCTTTTTTTTGATCGGCTCCCGGCAAGCAGGGGCGGGGAGGGGGAAGAGAGTCAGGGGTGCACAGCAGGCCCACAACAGTTCCGGACTGCACGCTGGGGGGATCTAGTCACATAGAGTGTTGGGGTTCTTAGGGACTGTCTTGTTTTGGCCTTGTTTTGAAATGGGATTAGCTTGATTTTTGGCTTATTGTGAAAGTTGGGGTGCTTATTTACCGCGTGAAAGTTGGCAACTGTGCGTTCAAGCTGGAATCAGATAGAGGCTCCCACTTAACCTCTGCCCTTATGAGGCAATCTACAGGATATTAGGGTACCTGGAATTCTCTTTTTATTCCTATGAAGAGCTCTGTGTAAGCTCAAAAGTATCTCTCTTTCACCAACAAAAGTTGGTCTAATAAAAGATATTACCATCCTCACTCACCTTGTGGGTAATATTCCTATCACCACCAGTCTCCTGGGCTAATCGAGCACTTGAACCAGATAGTGATAAATATACTTAGACATGTGTCTCAGAAAATGCCTGACTAGGCTCTGAAGCAGGAAAGATGCAAGGAGCACCGTGAGGGACAATTATGGAGATACAATTTGGGATATAGCCTGAACAGAAAGTAAGATATATTTAATTCTCTGTTGTATCCAGGATTGTTCACGTTATCCATATCAATATCTAGTCTTGCTTTACAGCACTCCTCCTGGGCTCACTGAGTTCCACATGTCTCTCATGCATTGTATAGAAGGGTTTTTCCTTTTGCTAGCTTTGAGTTTTAGATCCCATGGTCTTAGGGTGCTCACTCTTGTACTATATGCCAATCTTTATACCATGTGGCCTTCTGTATATCTCCGTCATATCCTTTCATCTCCTCTCTAGACAGTACTGAACTTTTCACTTTCTACCTCCAATCATTTTCATCACCCATCTCTGGACCCCTCCTATTTCTGCTTTTTAAGCGTTATTATTTATACACGAATGACCAGAACTGAACTAAAATTGACAAAGTTTCTTGCTGCAAAATTAATAGTGGTTACTGTTTCAATGTTTCCTGCTACAGAAGCAGCTCCTGAGGTAGTAGAT